TGTTTAATGGCGAACTCTAGACTTCTAGTATACTGATTATATTGTTTGTTTTGTGTTCGGCTTATTCAATGTAGAAGTATGAATACTCGCAACAACCGTAACTGTCAGGCATCCCCGCAACCGTCCCCGCCCCGTCAGCACCAGGCCCCTCCGGCCATGGATCTTACTCAGCTTATCATTCAGTTTCAGAGGATGAATGCACCAACCTTTGCGGGGACTGAGAACCCCACAGCGGTGCTGGAGTGGATTAAAGAACTGGACAAGATCTTCGCTGTACTTCCCCTCCTTGACCGTCAGCGGGTATCCCTTGCAGCTTACCAGATGAAGGAGGATGCTTCCGACTGGTGGATTGAACACTGGGCTCGGAGGCCAGAGGCGGAGCTCCATACACTCTCTTGGGAATAAATGAAGATGATGGTGCGTAGCAAGTTCCTTCCCCAGAGTTTTTGGGACAGAATGGAGCATGAGTTTTACCACTTGCAGCAGGGCAGCTCCACGGTGGATGAGTATATCCGTACCTTCACCCGCATGTGCCTTTCTGCGGGCGACGCAGTGAACACCGATGCCAAGAAGGCCCGTAAGTTTCTCAAGGGGCTCAACCAGAAGATCCGTGAACTGGTGGGAAGTCATGGGCTGATGTCCTATGCAGATACCGTGAGTCGGGCTCAGGAGGTCGAGAGCTGTCTCATTCCGTTAGCTCCAATTCCTTCTTATTATCATGCTTTCCAGCCGTCTCAGACCGTTGTCCAGCACGCTCAGCCCATCTCATCTGTGCAGCCCGGTTCTAGTTCGGGTAAGAGGAAAGCAGATTCCCATCGGGATAATCGAAAGGAAAAGCGTGGAGCACCAGATCGCCGCGATCCCCGCCCCATAGTCCAGGCTCAACACCCGAAGTGCACCAATTGTGGTCGTCGCCACCCCGGGCAATGTCGCTATCAGCAGAAGGTTTGTTTCACTTGTTTGCGCCCCGGTCATTTTCGCAATGAGTGCCCCAAGGCTCGACTGCAGCAACAACAGCTGCAACAGCAGCAGCTGCCATGACTACCTCAGCAGTAGTGAGGCTAACCATGGACTCGTGAAGTCGTATCAACCTTATTTTTTATTTTCTTAGTTTTGCTTTTTTGGGAAACTTTGCAAGCCTTGTTTTATTTCCTTTCGCTTGGCATACTATTTGAAATTGCGTTTGAGACTCCGTTATGTTCAATTTCAGTACTTTGGAACCTTCTGTTGCTTTCTCTTCCGTTGTATGGGATGGAATTTCAAATGGAGTTAAATATTTTAATTCTTTTATTATCCTTATCTATTCTCGTAAATTGAGAACCTTGTGTTGTGATGCCCCTAAATCAGTATGAATTAAAAGTCGGGAAGTGTTGGTCCACTTTAAAAGATTTTGAGAATCTTTTTAAGGAGGGTAGTCGTGCCTGGTGCAGGCACATCGTGAAGTACATGGCCGTCTTCGCTTTTGATATTCGAAATCGTTGAAGCTCATTTAGGACTGCCGGCACGGTTAGCTACTTGAGCAAGAGCTGACGTGACGGCCGACACTGTTTGTCGGAAGAGTCGAATGAGCTAAGAGCTTCATTATTCGGTAGTGAACGCTATGTTTGGGATTATTCCCGGTTGAGGAACCGATCCTCGTTTCTTTGGGTAGTTTTACCCGACCTCTATTGTTGTTTGTTCGACGGAGAATGTGTTGATCAGGGAAGGTGGTGAACTTGGAACTCGGTTTATGCCTATATTTGAAATTTTTTAAACTATTAAAGCTATTCTATGCCTGCATGATGGGAGAAATCATTTTTTTTATTAAACACCAAGTTGTTGTCGTTCGAAATTTTGTGGAAAACCCTTGTTCCTCCCAATTACCTTGGAAATGTTTACTTTTGATTTGGTGAAATTCTTCTTAAGACCTCGAACCCAAAGCCGGCCCTGGTCGGGTGTAGCCACGCGAAGTGGTGGCCGAGCACGCATGTCCGTGCTGAGAGACGTAAGGCTAGTGCACGGCCGACCATTGACTCGCACGTGAGCTGCAGCCGCCATCACGGAACGCCAAACTCATCATGCCAGTACGTACGGCCAAACCTTGACCTTGTAGTTGCTCTCCGAACAGGTACACACCCGCGTCCCAGCGCCCCGCTTATGCAGCGCCAACGAGTGTGCCACCTCTCGGGGGACAGTGCATCGACCATACCGTTGATTCATTCTTGAACCGTTCGACCAGTTTCTATACCGGAATGTGATGGGAAACCCCTTGAAATTTTTTTTCTGAACCTTGAACCGAGAGATCCAAGTTCCACTGAACCAATGTATGAATTCCCTAAATCACTTAATTCTCGATTAAGTGAGTTTGTTGATTATTGCTTAGCCGTAAGAGGGAGGTCCCTCGAGACGGCCGGAATTTGAGGTGCTTCATTGTCAAGCGAAGTCTCGAGTCTCGATTGGAGGCTATG